AGAGAGAGAGAGAGAGAGAGAGAGAGAGAGAGAGAGAGAGAGAGAGACTAGGGGCCTGTGAAAAGCAGAGCATATGGTCTCGTGACGTAACGCCGGTCGTTGCGGACGTTCTGACAACACTGCCCGTGTGTGTGTGTGCGCGCGCGCGCGCGTGTTTGTGTGCGCCCGCTGCTCAGGATTACTCCCGACGTATCCTAACCCAACAAACCGTCTCATCTCTGATGCATTCCGCAAAACACGCGCCACAATAAGCAATGAACACCGTGACCGCCGCCACCTGCCTGCTCGTCGCCGGCTTCAGCTGCTATATGTACGGCAGCGATGTCTTGTTATCGCTGCTCCGTGTCTCTCTTGCAGACTCCTCCATGCCCGAGCCGGGAGCTGCTCCGCGGCGGAGCCCGCAGGGAGTACCCTACGCCGACCTGCCGCACATCGTCAACGCCGACGGACTGCACCTGTTCTGCCGCTACTGGGAGCCCGCCGCCCAGCCAAGGTCAGTGGAGAACGAAGCAGGAAAACTAGTGTTTACAGCATCGTCCCTTACGTGTATGTGTTTAGTAGGCTGCGTGAGAGATGGAGTTTAAACCACAAGTGTCTTCATTTTAAGTGATTATCCTGAGTTGTGAGGAAAGTGCTTCCACTCACATGGTTGCTTCCAGTCCTGCAGTCACATGAGCACTTCAACTTCCTGCATGTTAATCTGTAGTGTGTGTGTGTGTGTGTGTGTGTGTGTGTGTTTGTTTGTAAAGTCCAGGAGGCTGTTTAAAAGTGCACAGCTGGGTATTCTCCCCTTCAGTGCAAATGTATGTCTTGACATTGTCTAACCACCAACAACAACAGCTGTATGAATCCATACTCATCCGAGGGCTGGGCGGTATGACCAAAAATGCATATCACGGTATTTTGTAAGATTCTGACGGTTTCACGGTATATCACGTTTTTTTTTTTTTCCGCGTTAAAGCATTAATTAATTAACGCCGAAAAGAAACGGCTGGCCAGCGAGCGGTGAACAGCTGTTTGTGTGGTGTGTCCAGTGTTGCCAACTCCTCAGTAAGGAAAGTAGCTATTGGCTGTCCTAAAAGTCGCTAAATGACGTCATCGCCTAATTTACATAATGGTAATGAGCACTGTAGGAGAGAGGCGGGAACAGCGGCGGCTTTGCGCATGCGCGATTAATTTGCAGTCTGGACGTGGAGAGTGTGGGTTTCCTCTTTCTGTAGCTGGGACTGCTGCGCGAGGGGCTACTGTGAGACTAACCGCCTTTGAGTGCTTTGAGGCGGCGGAGGGGCTCACGGCAGCTCCCGCGTGCCGAACGGTACGTGCTTTCACGTCGGAGTCAAAACACCAGAAAAGTCTCCAACAACACCAGAAAAAGTAGCTAGATTTGTCGCTAGTAGCTTTTGACAAAAAGTCACCATGAGGGTTTAGAAAGTCGCCAGATTTTGCGAGAAAGTCGCCAACAAGTCGCCTTTGCTTTGCCCTGTTAAAGAGCGTTGGTTGTAGGTTGTTAATTGTTGTGATAAAGTTATGACCATGACTAGGGTTCCCTCTCAATACAGTTAAGACAACTAGCTCCGACCGTAGTGCTACTAGCGGCGAACAATGTATCTTGCTGCCTGTTGAACAGCGACAGAAGTTGTTTCGGCTGTGCACCGGTATGACGTACGGGAAATTAATGCCAGTATACCGGTTGAACCGGTGTACCGCCCAGCCCTAACTCATCCAAGTTAATTTCTTTTGTATGGAGGTTAGGCCTTCATCCACCCACAACCAGGAGTCATATCCGCTCTGTGACTGCTCAAACACTCACCAATCAGCACTCCTCATCTTCCATAGACTATCACAGTAAAGTCAACACCTGTAGATGTGTTGTTTTCATAATTTACTCGTTATTTTAGAGTAGCACTGGCAGAAAAGAAGCCTACTTTGATGAGCTGTAATCCAGTAACTCAACAGTAGTAAATATGCATGTAGGCATTTGGCTCAGGTCCATGTTTATAAAATCCTCACATCTTTATTCTTGGTCTAGTGAAAGTCCTGGGCCGACCCCTTATGCATGTAATCAGTTTTCTGCTGATAGATGCCACACAAAAGATCCCTCGGTCAAAATGAGACAACATGACATCAGTAAGACAAAATGAAAGGAAATATAATCAACCTGTAGTCAATCTGGACAGTTAAGTCTCGTTCTGTGACCCAAGCTCATTAAAAAGACATTATATTTATGTTAATCTCCTCATAGTGGGGACTGCCAGATGCACCAGTGTCCCATACTGGGTCATGACCCCATTTCAAGAAAATGAGGAACAGTGTTACCGGTTCAACCCACTAAACAAGTTAAAACATTTTGCTAATAAGTCAAACAGACATTTCCTGTAGGTGCAGACCCTATTTATACTTTACTATAGTGGGAAGGACAACAGAATGCACTAAGTTACTCTTTCAGCTCAGTTGCACTTTGTGTGTATGGCTCACTTAGATTCACGAAATCAGTCCAGCACACGAGGAAACGGATGAACAACAGTGTCGGCTGTGGTCTCCCCGATCGCTTTATTTTGAAAAACCCAACTCATACCCATAACCCCTTGTGTTTTGAGGTTACTACTTGTAGTTGATTCGAATGGTATTCTCAACCTTACTGAACAGCGTTATAGTTCATTTGCAAAAGGCCCGAGATGCTGACTCATAGGGCATTCTGGTGTCTGAAAGAGTGTTAATCGCAACGTTGTCTCTTAGTCAAAAAGACATCAAACGATACAACAAGATGATTAATGGGTCCAGTTTATGAAAAACACGTGGTGCTGGTGTCTGCTGTCGGAGGCCCCCTTTGCTGTGAACTCTCTCGACCGTGGCCGGGACACCAAACAGAATACAGATGTCACACTTAGACTCGCCTACAAATAACACAGTTGCATGCAGCAAAGAAGGAAAGCGAAGTGACAGACACCCACAAAACATCTGGAGTCAAGACATTACTGATCTCTCTCTCTCTCTCTCTCTCTCTCTCTCTCTCTCTCTCTCTCTCTCTCTCTCTCTCTCTCTC